CCGGTACGTACGTACCGTACGTACCGTACGTCCGCGTACTCGTCCGTCGTTCCTCCTTCCTCCTCCTCCTCCTCCTCCTCCTCCTCCTCCTCCTCCTCCTCCTCCTCCTCCTCCTCCTCCTCCTCCTCCTCCTCCTCAGGTCTAGACAGTGAGGAAGGAAAAAAGGTGGTGGTGCTAGTATGTGGACCAGACGGTATGGTATCGACCCTCGCAGGTCCAAAGGCGAGAGACGGAGTCGCTCAAGGTCCCCTCGTCGGTACACTGGCCCACCTGGGCTATACCAGTGCCCAGGTCTGGAAACTCTAGCTCGACCCCCTATCCCCTTGCCTTGCCTTGCCTTGCCTTGCCTTGCCTTCTGCTCCACCCCTCCTTTCCCTTCTGCTCCACTCCGCCCCCACGGTCCGTACCGCTCTTTCACGGGTGCTCACGCTGCATCGCTGCTAATCCACATCGCCATGCACGCCGCCGCCACGCAGACAAAAGACGATTCGCATCGACATGCGCGTACGCCGCGGAGAGCAGCGTTCCAATCGCCGCCGTCGTCGTCCTTGTCGTCATCGTCATCGTCAGCCGAAAAGCAAGCGCGGCGAAGGGGGAAGAAAAGAATGACAGCGAATCGACCGCTCCAACGACGACAGGCAGCAGACACGGACAGAAGCGGATTGACCGACGGGAAAGACGGAAAACAGGAGGGGCTAGGGAGGGGGGGACCAGAATTCGAAAAGACGAGAACAAGGGGGGAGGCGGGGCCAAACCGAACTTGGCCTGGAATCGCCGGCGACGACTGGCTACTCCTGGATCTGGGCGCCCTCGCCGTCCTCGCGCTTCTTGAGGACGAGCTTCTGGCCGTCGGTGATCCGCCTCCACACGTCGTGGATGTCGTCGACGACCGTCTCAAAGTGCGACGTGGCGTCGTAGGATCGCGTGATAAAGATGTTGTCCTCCTTGCCATTCGAAACCGGCTCCTCGAGCGGGCTCACCGTGACGAACCTGGCGCACATGCGGCAGCAAGACGAGAGGCGAGGAGGGAAGACAAGCAGAGGAGACGAGCGAGGCAGGACAGTCGGGTCGAAACGGCGTCAGAGGCAGGTCGCATGCGGCATCCACGCGAGCGGTCGCAGGCAACGCTACTCACTTGTCGTAGATGGGGCCCAGCAGGTCGAGGCCGGGCCGCAGCTCGAGCTCGGGCTTGTCCGTCTCGACAATCGTCGACACCTGCGCCACGTAGATGTCGCGCGCGCACACGTTGTGGGTGCCCGACACCTCCGCAATGTAGATGTCTGGGACGGTGACGGGGGCGAGGCCGGGTCCAGCAGACAGGGGCGTCAAAAGGCATAGAGGTTGGTCAGCCCGTCCGTCCGTACGTTCGGTCCGTCTCCCTGGCTTCCCCCACACACCGGGCGAGCGGCGAGCGCAACTCTCCCTCTTCTCTTCCTGGGGCGTCCTCCGCTCGATCCCCCGCCAACTCACCGTGCTTCCGGCCGACCTGGTTCTGCGGGATGATGAGCTGGACCGAGTCCGAGTTGTCGGTGTTGGGGATGGGGTGCTTGAGGATGCAGATGGCGCGCACGACCTTGGCCGTCTCGCGGATCTTTTCCTTGCCGGCGACGCCGCCGCGGAAGTAGCTCGGGTCGCCAATGAGCATGGCGGCCTTGACCGTCTCATCGCCGCTGCGGACGCCCTCAAACTTGCCCGTCTCCTGGTTGACGACGATCTCGTCGATGGGCTTGTCGAGCATGTAGGTGCCGCCGTAGATGGCCGACAGGCGGGCAAAGCCCTGGGGCAGCTCGCCCAGGCCGTAGAGCGGGTAGATGTAGGGCGACTTTCCGTACCGGGCCATCGACGACGTGTAGAGGATGATGCGGTCGTACGTCTCGCGCGCCGGTCGCTGCATGTAGCTGCGGGCATGGAAAGGATGGACGGACGTCCAAGCCGCGTTTCGAGCGAGGCAGGGGTCAGCAGATGCAGGCAGCCGAGCTTCCGTCGGCTGGCTCATGGTACACTCACGAGTCGTCGAGGTGCAGGGCCATGGCGTGGCCGATAAAGTCCTTGGTGCCGGGCTCGAGGCCAAAGTAGTTGAAGACCTTTTCCATCGAGTCCGAGTCGAGGTCGAGGGCTGTCGCGGGTCAGGAGGGGGTGAGTCAAGGGTCAGTCAGTCGGTCAGTCGGTCGTTTCGGCTGTGGGAACCGCGGGACCGGCCGCTGTGGACGCACTCTGGTGGGTGGCGGGGTCGTCGTCGCGCCAGTTCTGGAGGAACTCAAAGAACTTCTTGGCCCTGCGCTTCTCAAAGAGGCCCATGAGCGAGGAGCGGACGGCCTCCATCTCGGTTGCGGGCACCTTTGCAATTTTGCCGTCGCGGTAGACAAAGGATGCGGCAATCTGCTTGAACTCGAGGTAGCGGGTGACGTCGGTGTGGACGAGCATCTTTGTGAGCTCGCCGTTGGCCATCATAAACTTGGGGATGAGGTCGATGGCATAGTCGCGGTCGCGGCCGATGTCGGTGGGGGGCTCCTGACCGGGGCGGAACTTGTTGTAGAGCTGGGTGAGGTTGAGGGATGCGCACTCGCCGCCGTAGAAGTCGTGGCGGTCGATGTGGAGCACCTTTTTGCCCTCGATCGAGAGGAGGGCCGAGAGGACGCACTCGGTCACACCGGTGCCGAGGATGACGGCGTCTGGCGGAGCGGAGCGAGGTGCCGGGGAGAGAGTGGCGAACGAGGGGCAGAAACAATGGGACCACGCGGGGGGCGCGAGGACGACGGGGGCGAAGACGAAGGAGGGTGTGGTAGCATCAGGATGAGGAGGAGGAGGAGGAGGAGGAGGAGGACAGCAGCGATTGATCAGCTGAGAAGGTAGCAGACAGAGTGTCGCCGCCGCGGCGATGGACACGCACCGTAGGTCTCATCCATGTTTGGTGTAGGGACTAGACGAGGAGCAGTGGCGGGTCTATGGAAGGTCGAAGAGCGCAGCGGGAGCAGTGTGCGCCGGGCAAGTTGGCGGTGTGTGTGCGTGTGTGTGTAGTCAAGAAGGGGACGACGCAGCAAGCGACAGGGGACGGGCAGTGATGGTGGTGTCGAGGATGATGGTGATGGTGATGGTGATGGTGGTGACGGCGGCGGAGACGGAGACGGAGACGAGGGGCCGAGGGCAACCCAGAGGAACGAGCGGCGAGGAGTCGAGTGGGCCCGCCCGCCCGCCCGCCCGCCAGCCAGCCAGCCAGCCAACCAACACCTGGCGTGGCGCACGCTCCCCCTGGCTTGCCGCCTGGCCGGGCCTGGCCTGAGGTGGGTCTGGCCTGCTGCGTGGGCCCCTGCGTCTGGTCGGCCATGACGACAAAAAGGTCGGCTTATGTCATCATGACAAGCTGGGTTGGACCCCACCCCGCGTGCTCGGGCCACCGGCGCGGGGGCCAGCTGGCCAAGGCCAAGGCAGGGCGTGCCAGCAACGTCAGGCTGCGTGGCGAAGCGAGGCGTGGCAGGCAGGCTTCCCTCTCTCTGGCGCGGGCAGCCGGGGTGTTGGACTCTGGGTTGGGCCTGGCGCTGCTGCTGCTGCTGCTGCTGCTGGCTGGCTGGTCGGCGGTGAGGCTTCCGCTGTCTGCGTGGTCGCAAAGCTCCACATCCGACGAGAGGGGCTGTCGGCCGCGCTGCTTGTCTGGCTGTCTGTTCTGTTGCTCGGCCTCGGCGTAGTGTGCCAGCTGGTGGGCGTGGCCGGCCTGGTCGGGGCGCTGCTCGATCCTCATCTCAAATGGCGGTGCCTGGCTCGCTCCCGCTTGCTTCTTCTGTCGTCCCTCCGCCTGTCCACCTCTCTCCGCTTCTCTCCCTCACCTTTCCCCTCCCTCTTTGACTGGTCGCCGCTGCTTCGTCTCGTCTCTCCCACAGCGCCACCCGGATCGCCCACAGCACCAAAGCGCCCAACCAACCAATCCCCGGGGCAATGTCGCGCTAGACTCGCCACTGGTCCTTTCACCCACACCGCGCGTCCCTAGTGGCTCGACGCAGCGCTCATCTTCCTTCTCCCCCTTTCACACGGCCCGCTCACGCCCAGCACCATCGCCAGCATCGCAAACATGCTCCGCGAGCTCTTCTACTACATCCTCGGCGGCATCACCTTCCTCCCCCTCTGCCTCGTCGCCGGCCTCGTCCACTTCCACCTCACCTGCCCGCCCCTGGACGCCCAAGATGCTGGCCACGGCATCAGCCCCGATGTCGAGCTCACACAGGAGCGCAAGGTCATGGCCCTCGACCTCGCCGCTGCAAACGCCGCACTCGTCTCGGAGCTGGAAAGCAACAGGGGAAAGGACCGCCCACAGGGCAGCTCCACCGCTCCCGCTGCGGCAAAGCGCCTCGGCCCCGGGCCCGCTCCCTCTGCCGGTACCAAGCCCCACCTCTCTGGGCCTCTCGTCGTCAGACCTCGATTCGCAGCCGACGCAGACGTCGCAGCCACCGCCGCCGCCGCCTCGACCACGGCCGCTGCTCCCTCGTCGTCTTCTCTGAGCAACTCGGACCTGGCAGGAAATAGCTCCGATGCCGGCCGGAAGCCCGCCTCCAATAACGCCAACGCCGGCCCCAGCTCCAGCAGCGCCGGTGGCACCAGCTACATGACGCAGATGTACAAGGGCCTGCTCGACTACCGCAAAATGGGGACAAAGAGGACACTTCCCCCCTCGGCCGACTCAAAGGGAACACAGCCCGGTCAGAACGGCGCCAGCGGCCCGACATCGGCCACCGGCACCGGCACCGGCACCGGCTCAGGCGCAGGATCGGACACCAACCTCACCGGCACCGTGGGCAGGGAGAGCTTCCACTGCATACTCAAGGCCCCCATCCTCTACCTCTACTCGTCCGACGATGTGTCCGACCCCAGCACCGAGTGCCACGCCGCCATCGACCTGCGCGGCAAGCGCGTCAGCATCTTTGTCGCCGGCCTCGGCGATACCATGGGCGAGCCGGACACAGACGAGGAGGATGACGACGACGACGACCGGGACAATGACGATGACGACCAGAACAGACCAAACGGCGGGCATCGGGCAGCGGGCGGGGACGGCGCAGACGACGGTGCGAGCCGCAACCAGCGACAGGGGCATCCCTCTACGAACAAGCCGCAGCCAGGTCCGCTGGCCGCAGTCAAGGACGCGGCCGGCGCCTACGACACCCAGAGCAGCGCGGGCAGCGACGCCGAGGCCCTGCCTGCCGCCAATGCCGATGGCCGTCGGGCCGCCTCGAAGCTCGCCAGGGCCGGCTGGAAAAAGGCCAAGCGCGTCGCGGTGCGCGACGGCGAGCTCTTCATGAAACGCAACGCGATCCGCATCCTCGGCAACTGGACTGGCCGCTCCGCCGGCTCCAAATCGCAGCGGTCGGCACCTGGCCAGGGCCGCCAGCAGCGTCCACAGTGGTTCATCTTCTGCAAGAGCACCAACTCGATGGAGGACTGGTACCACGCGCTGCTGCAGGCCTCGTTCATGCCCGAGAGCGGCCCGAAAGCCGGAGCGGCGACGGGCGTCGACGGCGGCGGCGCACCCACGCTCTCGCTGCGACCAGGACAGGATCCGCTCGACCCGGTCTTTTCCAAGGAAGACATGGCGTCGCTGCTCGTCTCGCTCGACAGCCTGCCGGACCCGATCCCACTGCGATGGCTCAACGCCATGGTGGGCCGCATCTTCTACTCGGTCTACCGCACCGCCTGGCTCGAGGACTACATCACGCGCAAGATGATGAAGAAGATCTCGCGGGTCAAGACGCCCGGCTTCCTCGGCGACATCAAGGTGCAGGAGGTCGATGTGGGGCGGCGCGCCCCGGGCTTCAGCCGGCCCATGCTCAAGTCGCTCACCAGCGACGGCGAAGCGAGCATGGAGGTGGCGTGCCACTATGTGGGCGAGGTGCGCATCACCATCGCCACCTCGGTCACCATCTCGCTCGGCTCGCGCTTCAAGCCGTACACGATCCCCCTGGTGCTCGCCGTGGTGCTGCGCTCGCTCGAGGGCAACCTGCTGCTCCAGGTCAAGCCGCCGCCCAGCAACCGCCTCTGGTTCGGCTTCACCTCGCTGCCCAAGATGGAGATCGACGTCGAGCCCGTCGTCAGCGCGCGCAAGGTGCAATGGGGCATGGTGACGCGCCTCATCGAGGGAAGGATCCGAGAGCTGGTGAGTTGCAGCGTCGGGCTCAAGTCCCCTTCCCGCATCGCATCGCGTGGCGTCGCACCGCACAGCAGCGCACTGACCGTCCCTCGCCTTCATCCTGCCGTGCGCTGCCGCCATGAACCAGCTGACGGAGTCGATCGTCGTGCCTAACATGGACGACGTGCCCTTCTTCGACACCCGCGGCCTTCCGCATCGAGGCGCTATCTTCGGAGACGCCGCCAAGCGACCCGACGACTCGCTGTCGACGGCGGCGAGCAACGAAGTGGCCAAGGCGGCGCAGCCCGACGCCGCCACTGCCGCCACCGCCGCCACCGCCGCCGTCGCCGCTGCTGCTCAAAGAGGCCACCAGAGCGCACCGGCGTCGGGCGCCACGACCCCGTCTTCTGTCGAGACAAAGCAACTCAACGGACCATCGGCAGACGGCGGCGCAGCCACCTCCACGGCGACCGCCGACAGGGGGGACGCCGCCTCGCTGCGAAACCGAAAGAGCAGCAATCTCAAGGCGGCGCAGGATCCCTCCCACCCGCAGCAGCAGCATCGTCTCTCGTCGCCCGCCGCCGCTGGCCTTAGTGATCTCCTCTCGCGCGACTTGGCCGCCGGCGGCTCCCTTTCGAACGACAAGCTGTCGACGTCGCCATCGCGATCCGACTCGAGGCTCTCGCAGCAGCAGCAGCAACAGCAGCACAGCCAGCCGCAGCAGCCGCAGCAGCAGCAACAATCACAGAACCGCAAGAGCTGGTTTGGCGGAGGCTCGCGCCAATCGGCGACACCCGGTCCCACGCCGTCCTCGTCGCTGCCTCCGGGCAGTCGCTCCAGAGGTGGCAAGGGCCGCGAGCAGAGCAGCCTCGCGTGGGGCAACGCCAGCCTCAGCCACGTGCCCGGCCGTTCCCTGCAGCCGCAGCAGCAGTCGTCGCCTAAGCTGGAGCCGATGCAGGACCTCGTCGCCGCGGATGGCCAGAATCAAGGCGCAGGCACGGCTGTCGACGCTGGATTCGAAAGCCACCGCCGCAACAACAAGAGCATCAGCTCGATCTCGTCCTCTGCTCTGGGCACAGATGAGAGCGGCGCGAGTGCCCTGACAGACAGGCTCGACGCCCCTGCAGCGGTTCCCGCCACCGAAGCAACCGAAGCGGCCTCCAAAACTGGGGCCGACCTCGCTGCACCGGACCAAGGATCCGACGCCCCGACGCCGAGGGCCGAGCACTATCCCGGCAGCACCACCTCGTCGTCGAAGGCGCCCTCGTTGATGGTATCCAAGGCGTCGGAGGAGGACGTCGCTGCCCTGGGCGGCGACAGCGGTGAAGCGGCGAGCCATGAAGCCCGGCCAGACTCGGCCCTCGCCATCGAGACCGGCGGCAGGCAAGAACCTCTGATCGACAGCCCATCGAGCCTCGTCGGTAGCGGCCATCAACCACGGTCGTCGTCACCGTCGTCATTGGGCAGCGATCTGCGCCTCGTGCCAGCTGATCACGATGCGGGGGATGCCGACGACGCCGAGGCGTCAGCCGATGAGGACAACGACGGGACATCGTTGTCAAAGTCGCTCGGCGCCTCGGGCCGTTCCATGGGCGGCTACGACGGCAGCAGCATCTCGCGCACCTCGAGCAGCCCCTCGGTCGCCAGCGGCGTCAAGTCGACGCACGGCTTTGCTCCGCCCCCGCGCAGAACTGCCGCCGCTCCCCCCACCCGTCGTGACAACGACGCCGCCAAAGCCAACGACTCGGCCTCTTCGGGCCTGGGCGCGGCGTACCAGAGCCGCTACGGGCTGGGCGGCGCCAGCGACGCTTCCTCTCTGTCCTCGCCCTCGTCCGAAGGCCCGGCTTCCGCCACGACGGCGCTGCTGCTCAGCTCCTGGACCAAGGCCAAGGCGAGCATGGCCGACAAGGAGAGCCGCCAGGCCGCGGCCAAGGACGCCAAGGACGCCATCAAGCGAGGCTGGGCTAGCTGGAACAGCAAGCGCAACGACCGTGGCGGTGGCAACTCTTCTGGGTTCAGCGATGTGGCCAGCACCGCCACGGCGTCGTCGAATCGGTCGTCCGGCCTGCTGTCGTCGGCCAGCAACAGCAGCCGCTTCTCGCTGACGCCATCGAGGTCGAGCTGGTACGGCAACGGGTCCTCGCCGCCGGCCGACCCGACCAGCATGGGCACCGGTCTCGAGAGCGGGCAGCACGGCTCCCGTTCGGGATCGCACAGCAGCATCGCGGCTTCCGCCTCGGCAGCCCTCTCTGAAGCCGAGCGTCGAGCCCATCTGCGCCGAAGCGGGATCCAGGACGAAGTCGACGACAGCGGCAGCGCCCGTTCGAGCTCGAGCGGCCGGCAGCCGTACCGTGAGCTGCGGGCCAGCAAGGCGGCTCACCAGGGCGGCCCGCGGCCCGATTACGACCAGCCCGCCGCGGACCCCTCCTCGACCTCTTCGGGACAGTGGAGCGTCTCGGTGCCTAGCCTCGCGGCCCCGGCCCCAGCGCTGCAAAGGCAGGCGTCTGAAAACAGCGGCCACCAGCGGGATGCTCGAGAGCCCAACCGGGGCCATGGCGACTATCCGGCACGTGGCGAGGCGCGCGGCCTCGAGGGAAGCCAAGGGTCTCCGGTCAACACGGTGCCGAGGCGACGTGTCAGCAGCACGGCTTCGAGCGGAGCTGGCGGTGGCGTCAGCTTCATGCCACCCGCGCCGACGACGACGACGGGCCTGGCGTCGACCTCGAGCTTCTCCGGCTCCACCCTCAGCCCCATCGAGGGCCAGTCGCCGCTGCCCACGCCACCGACCGACCCGATGCGCGGTAGCAGTCCGGAAGAGGCGTCCGGGCTGGGTCTCAGGCAGCCACCGCCGACGGCGCAGGCTGAGCCGGCTGCCCGCAGCGACGAGGCGTTCCGCTCTCCTGCGTCTTCGGCCAGCGACAAGAGGACCCCGAGAGCTGATGCGACGACGACACTCTCGCCGGAGATGCACACGACTTCGCCGCGGCTGTACGGATCAGCCGTCGTGGGCGCTGGGGGCATGGCGACGCCCTCTTCTCCTAGCATGGGCGGCGGCGCCAAGGTGCAGACGCAGCCGGGCAGGGCGGCCATGATGGCGGTGCCGGGCATTCCGTCGATGCAGAAGTCGATCCCGCAGAGCTTCAGCGCGCCGCCGCCGACCGAGGCCATGTCGGCTGCATCGCAGCCGCCGCAGCCGCGCACGTCTGGCTCGCCGACCATGACGCGGATGGGGTCCATGTTCCGGATGTCCGGCCTAGGGTCGGAGGGCGGTGGGCAAGCCGTTGACGCCAAAACGAGCGGAGGCGCTGTCGACCCCGGTACGGTGACAGCAAACCCGCTCGAGGATGAGCTGCCCGTTCCGAGCGCCGCCGTCTCTGGTGACGGAAGGGGCATCGATCAGGCCACCGACCGAGCCCCCGCCGACGACGCTGCTGGTGGCCTTGGGCTGACCAACCTGACGCCATCGGTCTCGGCGACTGAAGTAGCCGCTTCCAGCATCCCAGAGGGCGAGGCAGACGATGCGGCGCCGAGCAGCATGCCCGGCGAGACGGATGATGGCGAGACGGTGTCTGGACCGGCGGGGGTCGCAGCGGCGGCCATGCCTGCGCCGGCGAGGGGCGTCGGCGAGGAGGTTGCTGCAGGAGGCCCGGGCCCAAGCCAAGGCAAAAGCCAACAGCCGACGCCGACGGAGCAAGGCGAGGTCGAGGGCGTGACCACCGATGATGACGGGGCGGGTACGTTTGCAGAGGTGGCGGCGGCCGAGGGACCGGCCGTGGACCGCGAGTTTGCCGAGTCGCAGCTCGACATGGGACCGGCCGTCGCGGTGGGCAGCAGCGAGGTTAAGCTCGACGACGGGTCGAGGCAGCGACCGCAGCGCGAGGGCGTGTCTGCCCAAGGCGGGCGACCTTGGATCCACTGAGCTGGGGGCGTGGGGGGGGGGGGGGGGGGGGCGTGTGTCGTGTTGTTACGTACGACGCGACGCGACGCGACGACGACGACGCGCGCGGTGTAGTGTGTACGTAGTACGTACGTACCGTACC